GTTGGGGGGGGGGGGGGGGCATGAACACGTGCGGGGCGGGAAGTCTCAGTACGTCACGCATTGGCAACACCGGACAGGTTTGGGCAGTGATACAGATCAAAATAAAATCCTTGCTGCTGGTGCCGATTGGTGCCCGTCGCAGTCCGAACTGGCTCGCAATTCGTCTGGGTTTAGTTCACACAGAAACCTACCGAGATGGAACGCACCATGCGCACGCGAATGTTGTTTGTGACTCCTTGCAAGTTACATTCTGGGTACGAAATATCCCACGACGACCCGCCCGTAGCGGAAGCTGTTCCAGAACGGAAAGGGGGGATGTGAAGACCTGTATAATGTATATATGCTCAAAAAGAAGCTCTTTCGTGTCAAGAGGAAGAGGCCATGGCACTTACATACCCGCTGCTACCACTTGTGCTTTTCACGGGCTACAATTTCTGCAGAGGTCACCTTGCCGTAGGCAATGGAGAAGTTAAGTGTCTTGGCCTGTCTTCGCTCGCTCGCGAAAACGTCCTTCACCAACGGCTTTGGCGGTTCCCCCTGTAACAACAACAACAACAACAACAACAACAACAACAACAACAACAAACATGGGGATGGGGTTGACGGCCGACAATGTTAACAACATCCCCCGCGGCAGAGCGGAAACGTAGTGTGTACAACCATTACCATACACTCGCGTTCAGATTTCAAACGAACGCGAACACAGGAAGAGAGTGGCCGCGTTGAGCGCCTGGTGTCGTCTCTTGTAAGCTATAATAGATGGAAATCTCATCTACCATCAGCAGAGCGGCCTCTCGACCCAGTCATCGCCCAGGCCCGCACGGTAAAGAACGGATTGAAACAAGAGGGGGCCTCGAGCCGAGAACAGCACAAGAGACCCCGGTGGGACGCGGCGGTGCTACACGCTGCACCGTCTAACGACTCGAACCAACAAACGAGACATGTACTACTATAACAACAACAGCTGCAGCAACAGCAACAAAGGCCTATTCGCCATCAATGAACTCCTCACAACCGTGAAATCGGCCAGGGTCGAAACACGTCTACCGGGGAATCGCAGAATAGGGAGACTTTTGCGCCAAGCACGAAGCATCGGGCGGTTTTCTCAATCGAGGGAAAGGGTGGTCGGTGGGAGGAGTTCACCAGCCAGAGAGGAAGACTAGTAAAAAAGTGAGAGACGACATACAAAACAGCCGAGACTAGTAAAAAAAAATAAAAAGACGGGGACAAAGATGAAGCCAACTACAGCATGCATACGGTGATCAACACCTTGGAGTAGTCCCACTCGAGAAGCACCTCCCCCTTGTCAACCGCCTCCTTGACGTGATCGAACATCCCCACCGCGGTCCGGCTGTGGAAGCAACCGCCCTCCTGAAAAAAAAAAAGAGGGGAAAACAACGAGAGTCAGAAACAAAGCGAAACAAAGAAAAAAAAAAAAAAACGAGCGAAGAAAGTGCATGATCCGGAGACGGGGGTTCCGACACAGACAACCAATTCACCGACGTCCACAACCTGAGGATCCACCCTTCCCACAAGGGGAAGTCAAATCGAACAATCGCTTTGAGTGTGGGTTTCGGGCAGCGGTGATGGGAACAAAGCAGGACTAACACAACGCAACAATTCCTAACCGCCAACAAACAAAAAGCAAAGGACGGGGGGGGGGGGGGGGGGCCCAAAAAGGGGAGCCCCGGAAAAGGGGGAGCCGGGGCCCAAAAAAACCACCCCCCGGGGGGGGGGGGGGGGGCGCCCCAAAAAAACCCCCCCGAGGGGGGGGGGCCGGGGTAGGGGGGACCATTTGGTTTTGGGGGCCAAAACCCGGAGGCCGGGGAATTTTGGGGAAAAAGCTAAACCCCCCC